GAAGCAAGTCTGACTTTTTCCCTATCGGGACAACTTCTAGTGTGGAAGGCGTTAGGGACATCCGCTAACTATCGTCTGCTCGCGATCGGGTCCTTCTCCCCAAAGTACTCCGGAGCCCCACATGCTCGAAAGTCACGGAAGGTCAACGTGCGAGCTCCTATCAATGCCACCATCTCAAACCGAAAAGTGCTCAAGTACACATCCAAAATCTCCAGAATTCCCTCCTTGATCGTACCAAATATCACAAGATTCTGCTCAAGTATGTTGCGGGTAATCTCAGACGAAATGAACTCCCGCTTCTGATCATCTAACTGTCTCGCTCCAGAACCCAATCCTGAACCCTCACTACAACCACTAATCGGTCTTCCTCGAAGGATCGCCACACTCAAAATAGACCATTCAAACCATAAGAACACACATAAATGAATATCGAGGAGTCTCACACTCTACAATCTTCCTGGTATCATCGCAGCTCTCCTTGGATCGAGTATGGATCCTCTGCTTCCAGTCGTACGGGCCCATACTACCTTCCACATCTATCCATACTTTCCTCAAGGATTGCTATGAATCCGCCAATTCACTCCTTATCTATACATACAATCCTTAACAAAACAAGGCTCCCAGCACTAAATCTCTTCCTAGGTATCTCCTAGGGCAATCACCACACCACTCTCCGCCATCAATTGCAGAAGGAACTCCCACTAATTCCCTCTAACAAGCTCACGGATACTATTACATATCACTGACACCAGATAATTCTTCGAATGAAAGGTCACACGCTACAGCGGTTGGACTAAAACAAGAGTTGGGCCATAGAGTTCAAACCTAACCTTCTAAAATTATTTAGTCTCAATAATATGTAACTTATCATATTCGCTTACTAGTTAGTTAAAGTTAATGTGAACTCCAAAAAAGTACAAAGCAAGCAGCATTAGAGCATTGAGTAATCGAAATCAAGCATAACCTAAACATGTCATCCTATCGCTGACTGGTCAATATTAGCATGCAAGTCTACAAGCTCATACAGTAGGCATATAAAGGCATCTCTCCTAGCATTTTATCATTTAAATCCTAAGCAGATCCTTATCCCTAACTAGCATGCGATTCACAAATTCATACATCAAAGCATATCATAAAAACATGTATAGGTATTTTGGAAAAACTTACTTGAGCTCGGTCGATTGTATGCACCACACCCTTTTTCTTTATTAGAAAATCCTTTATAAAACATTTCTTTTTGAAAATTCTACCAAACCCTCAGTTTGAACTCAGACACATCCGAGAATATGCCCGAATCCCTCAAACTAAGTCTCTGATATCAACTTGTAACGTCCCAAAAATTAAAACTAAAAATTTTAATTTCTAAATAAATAAAACCATTACTCAAAACAACATCATAGAAACCATAATGAATCAGAGTGTATCAATAAATATCCAATTATATCAGAGTAATAAAAGTGTGGAACAATGGAGTGTGTGCACTGCAATCATCACGGGCTCTTCCCCTTCGAACTAGAAGTACCCGAAACATAAATTGCACCTCCCCTAAAACCGGGCCTATATATTGCTAGTCTGCAACTGAGAACTGGAAATTGGAACAAAATCGTATATCAACCGAAGGAAGCATCGATGTAGAAGAAGATGGATTGGGAAGTTGAAAGAGAGATTGGTGTGAAGAAATGTATCCGCTCGACGATGGCGGTGGAAGAAAGAATCCTATCTAAAAAGATGATGGCAACGGTGACTTAACCCCGGTGAGTTAAACCAACCCCATAAAGATTCCTAATCAATCCCGTTAAATTTGCATCAAATTGATTGGAGCCGTAAATTGAGGGATTTAAGGGAATGAAATATGGGCTTGCTCAATTTTGATCTTAAAACATCTTTTGATTTTTTTTATTTAAATTTGCTTTATCTATAATTTCCTGCGTGATTTGAGGAGAGTAGATTAGTAATTTGAAAAATCTGGTTATCATCCCCTTATCTTGCACGCCCTTCTTCTACAAATTAGTGTTTACATCCTTCAATTTATCCAATGCTCTTTCTTTCTCTCTGTCTCTCTCACATATGAAGAAATACCTCAATGCTCTCGGTTCTTGAATCTGGGTGTCATGACGGCCTCCTCTCCATCATGCCCATCAGGTAAAAGTTGCCCCACTCACGATATGTTTACCTTGTGGATATACAGAAAAAGAAAATGTAGAATGGAATGGAAATGAGGATGGGCATCAGAAACAAACACCAAGAGTAAAAGAACTCGCATATTGCTCACCTCTCAAGGTTCTTTTTCTCTCTTTTACTAATATTAAATCTAGCCCTGATAGTTTGAGTTCCAAATCACCAAGTTTAATCAAATATAACAAGTTTTGAATTTAACGTGTTTTTGTGAGAAGATTTTGAGAATTATTGATTTTAGATGTTTGATTCATGTGTTTTTGGGAAATTTAGCATCAAGCGTTAATTTTTCTAGCTTACATTATGATGTTAGATATTTGGGAAATTAGATCTTGTTCGATTGATAAAATATCTTACAATACAATTGAATTAACCTAAAATATCTTGAATATTCTAGCTAAAATCGTTAATTTGGTTTCTCAGATAAAGTTTGGTCATGTAAAGAAAGCTCCAAAGGTAATTTACCTTTTTAATGATACAAAAGGCTCTCATAAATATTCTGACATGTAGTTTTGATATGCATCATAGGTCCAAGAAATTGGTAATATATGTTATGGGGGTGCAACAATAGTAAATGGTAAGGTAGCTTTTCAAGATAAATGAGTTTTAGCATTAGACCCTTATATCTATTTGTTTCTTTATTGCAGGAAAATGATAAGATATTTTATATGTCATAGGGCTTCATCATAATGGCTTTATTAGCAAATTTTAAGGTATGATACAGTAATAAAAACAACTGAAACCATTAGACTCTAATTTAAATATTAAGATTGAAGTGTAAGCTGTATTCTGGATTTTACTGGGGTTGAACAAAGTTCGTTGCTATTTCAGGATACTCTCCTTGGTACTGATAAATCACCTTGGTTGGAGTTGCCTACTGCCTCTTCTGATAAGTTGTGGTGTTTAATATTTCATGAGTTTTTTTTTTTGCAGGATGACGTTTGCCCAATTTTCTACACATTATAACTTTTCTTGATGCACTCCTCCGTCTTGACAACATAACTTTCTCAGTTTCGAAAAGTGAAGCAAATGATACAAGATCAAAATATAGTTATTGTTTTAAAAATCAGACCGGGTGGTTCGACTAGTACAACCAGGAACTGGTCCAGTTTTCAAAACCTTGCTTGTAGTATGATTTTGAGTTTGATTTTTTTTGTTGATTGTGTATGCAAGTTTTAAAATCTGTTTACAGGTTTTAAACTCTTTCAATTTTACATGTTCTAAAATCTGTCAAGTTAATCTATTTTCTGTAATTATTAGTTTGTCATTTTAGACATTTGTGATGGTTTCTTTTAAAATACTATTTGGTGACTTCATATGGATTACATTTGAACTACTCCTTCAGGAGGAAGTTGTATGAATTTTTTATTTGACAAATAACTTTCTTTTTTCAGAAACAATCTTATAAAGAAGATGAATCAAGAAACAATCGCTCTAAAAAAGGACTAAAAGTTTAAGTAGTTAATTAGAAATTAATCAAATTATAGTATACAGATTATAGAAAGAGAAAGATAAAAATTCATTGGAAAATAAATCAAGTGATAACGTGAATTCTATATCTTTTGGCAAAATTAAAAAAGACTAGGGGTGAAACTACTCACCTAATGGTTGGTTTCAGTTAAATCAATTGATATGATAATTAATATCACTGATATGATATTAATTTATTATAATTTTTTATTTTGTTTTGGTTTTTACTTTCTTTTTGTTCGTTAATTGGTTTTCCTTTTTGATAACGTTTTAGATTTTTTTAATATTATTTTGATGGTTGTTAATGTGAAGTTGTCTTAATTAAAGTCTAACAAAATTTATATCTTATTAATTTAATAAAATTTTACAAATCTTTTGTCCGTGATTTCC